TGATCTCCAACCCCCGGTCCGTGGATCAAACATTATTGGTTAGCACAAGAAACATTAAATTATTTCCATTTTATTTTCTGTGGCATATTTTTCTTTGGTTTGTGCTACTTTTTTGGAAAATCACTTTATATTCCTTGTTAAATCACTTTATATTCATTTTTGGTGTAGCTATATTTTATTCTGAAGGCATGTTTAAATACAATTAAAATAAAACTATTGAAACGAAACAATCTAAAATATAAACAGTCAACGTCCTCCCCCTCAGTGGGCCGCGTTAAAATTATCCAACGTTGACCGATCCGTGGTGATAAAAAGGTTGGGGAACACTGGGTTAAAGGACTAAGTCCTTTGTGTTAGATTAACTTAAAACGTTGTAAAACTACTCGCAGGTTATTGGAGACATACCTTAGAAATCTGTCGGTCCTGTAAGTGCGTCGATTAACATTTCACTCTCTTAGCATACAAACAATACAATGCAGCTCCATAGAGACTTTTTTTTATTATTAAGAAAATTTTAAAGTTATACAGAATTTCAAATGTTTACAGTGAATTTACAGAAATTGTCACAAGCCCTTCTGGTGGAAATAAATTGGTGAAAATCTAGAGGCCAATTTATGTTAATACCCTTGAGATCCAGTCATAGGATCTTTCCTTCTCTGGCTGGAGACCTATAACATCATTACTTTTTTGTTTAATTTGTATCAAATCCAATTTATACGAAATCAATAAACGTTGAAAGAATCAATACTTAAACATATAATCCATGGATGTATTGATAACTCATCGAACATTTTCAATGAAACACCTCTCACTCTCAGAATTTTAATCATTAACATATAAAATGAGATATATGAAATTGTACTGCATAATTAGGGCAAAATCACGGCTAATTTTCTTCATTAATGAAGGCATAACCAAAAGACGACCACCCTTATTTAGTAATGAGCATTTTAGGGGAACTCAAGCAAAATAAGGCTTCATTAGGGCCTTACACAAACCCTCCAACGCAATCAGAACAGACGAGTCTAATCTCAATAAGCCTTTTTCCAAAAATAGAAATACCACATTACGAAAAGTCGCTTGTAATATTCTACTTTTCCAAATTGCCGGAAGATCCAGGCATGGATTTTGTAATCTCACGTCTCTAATAACAAATGACATCTGAAGTGCTCTTGACTTAAGTTTGCTGATCTCCCTACAATTAATTGGGCTTGTCTTAACTGGAAGATTTAATTAAAAGCAGTGAAGACGGGAAACAAGAACTAATTACTTAAAACCCAGTGTGGGACGTTCGCGTCTTTGAAGGTCACGCTGACAATGACAGTGGTGTTGGAATAAAGCGTCTCGATACGATGCTTGCGTTTAGGAAATGGAGTTCACAGATTTAGAGGGTATACAAATGATATGTCAAAGTGGATGGGTGCATTTTAATTTTAATAATCGTTGCCGTCAACAACTGTCTGTATTGTCATTACACTAAGGAAGATATTTATGAATTTCCGTTATTAAAATTTATGCAAACTTCTTTTCAATAAGAATAAAATTGCAGCTGATGTTTGTAAGTAGTTCCCAAAACAGCAATTTAATAATAGATATTTCTCATCTTCATTCATATTCATCTAGTCAAGGATATACCTAATTGAAGTTACAGTGTGTGTGTGTGTGTGTGTGCGCGCGCTTGCGTGCGTGCGTGCGTGTTCCCCCTATGGTGTATGTATTAGTCAACATTTCACAATAAGTTAAATTAAAACAAACTTAATATGTTTTAATTTAACCCAAGAAAAAATTTTTTTCCAGAAAAGTAAAATTAAACTTCATCTGTATAATTACTTACCATTTTTATTTTAGTAAGAAAATTCTTAACTATTTTTAAATGCTTATTATAATTTCGTATTATTCAAATTTTATGTCATTCACTTCTCTTTAAAAAGCGAATTAAAATTTTTAAAGAAAATAACCTCTAAGACAATGGTAGATATAATTAAATTTTCTTTATAAAAGCATAACATGGCGTTAGAGTTTTATTGAGGAAAAATTTAATAAAATTATTGAGATGTTAGAATTTTACGTTGAAATTCCATGTTGCTCTAGAATAAGGTATTTTTATTATATAATTCTAGATCAAAATTAATCTGCGTTTTTTCGTTCACATAAGTTTGGAGCCGCTTATTTTTATTTCCAAAATTCTAAGCATTTTGAGCATTATAAATAATATGTTACAATACATTTGTAATGATACAATGATTATATAAATAACTGGAATTGTTTAAATATTCTAATTATTAGTTTTGAATATGAAATCTAATTTAGTTTATTTATTACAATTAAATGATCTTGCAAGTGTAATTTTAATTGTACTGAATATTAATCTACTATACTTAAATTTATAGTTAAATGAATGCTTTTTATTAGCTGTTCACAATACTGATATACATTTAAAGAGTTATTTCAGATTATCCGTGAGATAGAGATAATGTGAAAGCAGTTAAGAGTTGTAGATAATGAAAGTTATAGAGAGTATCATACCTTTATTTTCCAAAATTACATCACAGTAATTTTTTACTGTGTTAGCAGAATTATTGTGAAAAATGAAATGAGATACATTATTTTTGCCACATTTCTAAAACTTAGTTCAATATATATTAAAGGAGAGAGAATATTTATATATATAAATTGAATTTCTATGAATGAAATGTAAAATATTTTTCCCAGTCAATCTCTGATATAACGTATTACATTTTTGGTCCTTATAAGCTATTTAACTTCATACTAAATTTCAAAAAAATATATTGAAATAGCGTAAAAGCAATTCTTTTAGAAAGGTTAGAATTACCAACAGTAGTTTTCTACTAAACATGCAGTGTACTGTCTTGCACAATGAAAAATAATATGTGGCTCTATTTTTTATCATTACAAAATTGCCTAAAGGTACAAACTTTATACTTTATCTTTTATCATAACAATGTATGTATCGAATGCTCTACTTTAAGATTCATCAATATATTTTCGACACGAACCTATTTCTTATCAATTCCAACATAAATGTATCAATAAAATAATTTTAAAAAATATTAGTTTATCTGATTATAACTTATCTTAAAAAATATATCAAAACAAATTAAATCTGCTTGATATTTGATCTTAAGCAAAAAACAGACTTTTCATCTCAACGCTCATGTTATCGAAGCATTGCTGACTGCCATTTCAAAGTTCTAAAATTCGAATACTGAATCCGCAAAAATAGCGAAAGGTTGTGTACATGCTCTTTTCAAACAAAGATTAACATACCTTACCGCTTTCATGGTTGTACGCGAAAGTAATTCCCAAACAGAGAAAAATAAAACATTTAATTTGGCTTCGGTTTCTTGCGAAAGATATATTCATGGCAGGTTCCTCGGAACTCCAAAACAAGATCTCAGGCGAGTGATTGAATGTGACGGATATCTTCCGGGAAGGATTCTTCTTGAAAAGTTTTACAGGAAAGCAATCCTTCACTTTCATTCAGCTGTCCTTCCCTTTCCTTTTGAACTGTTCTCCAACCCTCTCCATTTACTGCAGGGTTCAGCTTTGTTTGATAATGCCATGGCAAAGAATGTGATAGCACTGTCTTTGGATTTCCCTAGGAGTTTAGTAAATATTTTGACATAATTAGATGAATTATTTCATTAAATATTAAAAGAAAATGCTTTTCTCGCTTCAATGTTATAGTTATTTAGGACGTTCCCCCCATGTTATTGATTTAAAAAAAAATTTTTAATTATTTTTTCATAAATTGCTTCATTAACATGTCTAGAAAACGGTAGTAAAGTGATTTTGTAAAATTCGGAGTCGTTATAAAGAAGCAGCTGTTAGAAGAGCAGCTGTTCGTAGCGCTAAGTTAAGATTTCCATAGTTTTAATCGGACTTCAAATTTTAAACACGTTTTTCTCAAAACTCGGGTTTTCACTTTGCTCCATCATATCTCAAGAATGGTTTGACCGAATAACTTCAAATTTATAGGGTAGCACAAATTTACGCAACAAATGAGCTACGATCGTTCCAAAATTGGAAATGTTTCTATTTTTATAACAAAAACATAACAAAAACCCCATGAAATTCGAAACCTTTTCTTCAAAAGTCTACCAAAAATCCAATTTTTGATATTTTCAATTGATAAATATATAGCTCACATATAAAGCGAGTATAGCTCATTCGGTGCATTTAAGCATATAGAATAAGCTCCGTTATTTTTTTTATTTTTAGATAAACCAATCAACCGGAATCGTGGTGGAAGTGAGCGTCCATTTTTTTTTAGGCGGTTGCATTCAGAGCGCTATAACTCACGTTCTATTGGATACTTTAGGCTAAAAATTTATATACATACTCTTAAAATAGATATAAATAAATACTAAAAAAGTAAATTTCTATCATTCAACCGGTTGCCAAAAACATTTTCCTAAAAATGCTTAAAAAAAAGCCATCGTATGGGTGAGCCTCCTTAAATATTAAAAGAAACTATTTTTCTCGTTTCAGTATTATTGCTCTTTAAAAGATCAAATACATCTTATCTAAAGATCCTTAAGCAAGAAAGTTTTTTGATACTTCTATAAAAGAAAATACATACAAAGAACTGAAGCTTTTGTTTAACTAAAGCAAACAGCGCTGATTTACCATATTTTTTTTTAATTCTGTTTTAGAAAGTTTTTGTAATATAAAAAAGAGCAATTTAAAAACTAACAATGAAAAAAAATATCAGGTAAGGTTACGCAATACGTTCAGAAACGTTATTACCCAAAATCGTATAAATTAATATTTTTTTTTTCAATTCCCACTATCAGTTAACACTTTTTCTATATATATATATATATATTTATCTTGTTCAAATTTTCATTCGTTAATAAAATACTTTTTTATTCATCCACTCAAGTTCATTAATTCATTAATTAAATTAAAATTTGAATAAAAAGTAACAAAAAAACAATAGTCCTACAGTATACAAAGAAAGCAAAATCGTTCGGTGTGTACCTGTAGAGCAATGGATAGCGCGTTGAACTTCTGATTCAAGGTCATGGGCTCGAATCCCATCTGGGATGGCATAGTTTCTGAGAATGTCATTTCTTTTTCACTAAACTATTTTATTAGAATAATTAAATTATATTATTGAATAAATAGTAACACATTTTTTTTAAAAAAATAGTCCAACACCATATACAGAAAGGAAATTGGAAAATTGGGAGGAAAATTGCTTTCTATTTTGTCACTTAATATTGTGATTCTGTCTTATGTATATACATATTTATATTAATCGTAACTATTTAATAAAACGTAACTAATTTTTTTTATATATTACTTGTTATATTTAATGTTACTTGAATCGCAATATGCATATATAATCGTTTTAAAAATATTATTGCAATAAAAAAATTATTTAAATTTATTTATTTATTTATTTATTTATTTGCCAAAAATTAAGAAAACATTATATCTCTCAATCCAAACATTTTTCTTTTATGTAAAATGTTCATATAATAGTAATATTTCGTCTATTTATGCCTAAAAACTCTCTACAGAGACTGAAAAACTATTTTTGAAAAATTCATATTATTTTTAGTGTTACTAACATTTGAAATAATTAGAGGCGCTTTTTGTTAAATCTTTTTAACTCTGATATACTAAAATACGCATAAATTCCCTTTGAATTATATATTTCAAAAGTCCTAGTACAAGTGCTGTACATAAGTCTTATTCATATACGTGTAAAATTATATTATAACAGAGGCATATTCCATAAAAGGAGAATGTCTTGAAAATATTTAATTTTTTCTTAATTTTTTGTCAAAACTGTTGGATTTTAATTGTAATAATATTTAGTTGCAATAATCGTAAGAATATTTAATTGCAATAATAGCAAGAATGCTTAATTGCAATAACTGCAAGAATATTTAATTGCAATAATTGCAAGAATATTTAATTGCAATAATTGCAAGAATATTTAATTGCAATAATTGCAAGAATATTTAATTGCAACAATAGCAAGAATATTTAATTGCAATAATATTCTTAAAATATTTTGAGATGTATATTCTAACTCAAGTGTGATCCTAATATATATAAAAAATTATACTCATTCATACGCTTTTACAAAACCATGGTTCTTAACGTAGTTAGCCATTTTAAAGCCGCCCATCCGGTATAGTGGTTAGTGACGCTGACTGAGGTGCCGTAGGGTCTGGATTTGATTTCATGAGAAGGCATGGATGTTTGTAAATGTATAGTACCTTTAGGGCATGGGGGTACTCTATATAGCCGTGGAGCCGTAAGTTCTCTAGTGAGGTCGGTGGAAGAAGGAGAATGGGAGGTCCCTGACCCCTCCTAGGGTGTTCTCCTTCAAAATTGGGGTGGAACCAAGCAAAATCGTAATGTCATCTGCATGATGCTCAAAGCTAAGGCTAACGACAGGCGTAAAATTCTAGCCCTTAACCGAGTTGGATTTCGTGGATCTCGATCTGAGGTTTCTGTCGATCAGGTGGCATTCGCAACATCAACAGCATTTTAAAAAAGAGACGTTTAAAAATTGGAAATGAAATATAATGACAGTCAAAATAAAAGTTAATTAACATTTTCAATTAAAATCAAAACTATTTATTATTTTCAATTAAAATCAAAATTATTTATTATCTTCAATTAAAATCAAATCGATAAATAAAACAAAATGTTATTGAATATCTTATAGATTATAAGACAAACAAAAAAAAGTTTAAACTTTCAAGATTTTTTTTTTAAACTCATATCATCTAACTTTATTTTCATTTTAACTTTTCCTAATATGCATTCCTTAATATTTTCTTAAATATCTCAAATAAGATATAATGCATAAATCAATGATAAAATAATATTCAAACTACACTTGAGTTTTATTTTAATTTTCATTCGTTCAAAAATTTTGAAAATATTTCAATTAAAAACATATTCATGTGCCTATATACAAGGAAAGTTGTTGCGCATTCTGCCGGGGTGACCTCACCAAAAGCGAGTTTTATGTTAAAATAAACTAACCCTGCCTCTAGCAATTTCCTACACACGTATATATTTCACTTAATCATCGATGAAAGGGACGTATAATACGCGCCATTCCTTCCCTCAAGCAATTGCGAACCTAGAGAAATTGCTTCGCATAACACTACGCGCATTTGATCACTAGCAACTATTCAGATCGATGCAATCATAGGTGATATGCAACAGCCGGCCCCAATGCGTCCAGCAGAAAGACAGCACTCCATATTCTTCGCTAAACACTACGTACAACTGCTTCTCACACTGCAGTCAATCGATTGCCCTGAATCTGCAGACGCTTTTAACATCTTTTCTTCCATGTTGCCAGCGATCATTTCTAATTTATTTAGTTAACCGTCAACTTTTTCTACTGACTTTCTGGTTCAAATCTAATTTGTAGTTGCTGCTTCACGAGGCGCGTTATTTTGCTGGTAAATGACTTTACTTGTTAACTTCATCTTATGCATATATTTTTATCGTTACTTTTGTGTATTCAAGCCGAAATTTGTCGGTGCGTCGTTAACTTCAATTATAGTTACTTTCCAATTCAAGGGGATAAGTTTGTTTGAAAGTAAAGAAATCCTGTTTTAATACCATTGTGTACTATAAATTGTATTTGATTATTTATTTCGAAGGAAAGTTTTACTTCGGATTCTTCGGTTTCAATTTGCTATGTTAAATCACAGTAGTTGACGTCATTAGTACATTTTTCGTTACTGATTTTCGTGGAAATCAATTACCCAGTAACAACACTCAATAAAGAAAGTTTTTTAAGAAAACAAGATTTAGCCTATAAAATTTGTATGGCTTTATATAAACTAGAAAAGTAAAAAAGTAATTCGGGTTTAGTTTTGGAAATCTAATAATGGCTTCAAATTACATGTCATCTGAGACCCATTATACTGAAACATTGAAACGAATGGGAACTCTTCTCTAAAATTGCTGCTTTCATTATAAGACCAATCATATATTTCTTTATGTAGAAAAAATACATATTTAAGGTATCCGACTACGTTCGGAACCATGATTTTGCAAAAGAGTATAAATCGATAATATTTATGGTATTTAGTGTCATTTAGATTAGAAAATGTATATAAAATTGTTTTAAGAATAGTATTACAATAAAAAATTATTTAAGTACAATATTTTGACATAAAATGTACATAGAATGACCCGTTTTCAAAATGTTCTTCTTTTGTGAAAAATTCTTCTATTATAATTATATTTTGCTTGTATATAGCTCAGACCTCTCTACAGAGACTCAACTAGAATTTTTGAAATATATAACTTAGAAGTGGGTCTATCCATGTTTTACGACAACAGAGAGGAGAAATTTTAAGAAAAAAACGCTGATAATTATTTCAATTGGTTGTAACTCTAAAAATAATGTGAATTTTTCAAAAATCTATGTTGAGCCTCTGTACAGTGGTTTAAGCTATACATAGGAAAATTATTATTATAATAGAAGCATTTTTCACAAAAAGAAGAAAATTTTGAATAAAAGGTTATTCTAAATTAATTTTTTGCCGAAATATTGTATTTAAATATTTTTTTTTTGTCAAAGTGTCCTTAAAACAATTTTATACATGTATTCTAATCTAAGTGACACTAAATATCATGAAAATTATACATTTATGTGGTTTTTAAAAAATCACGGTTCCGAACGTAATCGGATACCTTAAATGATACGTTCGATTAATTCGTAAGCAATTTGACTTCATTTTTTTCCTTTTTGAGTAACACAATTTTTAGAAGTAAAACTAAATTGTGTAGTTAACTTCATTAATATATAAACAGTTTTACACATAGCTTTTTACTTTTGAATTTCTTAAGAATGAGAGAGGAATAAAAATAAATGAATAAAAATAAATGTTCTACATATGCGAAGAGGTATTGTAAGGTTTCAGTTATTACTAAAAAGGAATCACAAGATTAAAACTTAATTTTTACTTGTTATACTTAAGACTTTTCTACATAGTAACCATCCAGAAATTATGGACCTTCCAAAGTTTATCTTTATGTAAATCATTATACTCCGTCCGAAACATTCTTCCACTTTTTCAATAATTTCATTTGTTTTTTTTCTCATCTCTGATCCCGCATTGCTTTTTTCAGGTATTTGAATAATAATTTGCTTAGTGTAAGAATGGAAGAATAGGAAGGATGTGGCCAGCTTTCAAAGTCACATAACTACGATTTCTTAACGGTACCTCGAAATGAGTTAGCAGTTACATTGTCAGGAAGGATGCGTTCGTTTTAAGTAATCATACAGTGTCATTTCATGATCAAAGTATTACCTCTTTTGTGCCACTGTCTTCAATCACATTCATTTGTAATAGAGTGCAGTTTTAACCCCTTAAACTGCCGGCATGTATACTCGTCCAACTCAGGTGGTGCGTTTAGTGCCCTGGCCGAGTATTTGTATGATTTTACATGGTGCTGCTCTGTTTAAAAATATTCCCAATGCTTCTGAATACAATAAAATGACAATGACAGTGCTTTTAAAGAGTTTACTTGTTTCGTAGAAGTGGTGGGGAAGGAATTTGAAAAGGTATATTCCAGGAAAGTGGAAATTCATATCTAAGCAGTTTTTCAGTACCGTTAACATCTTCGAAGAAAAGTGCGATGTGAAAATATGTTGTTTGTGTAAGGGATCTCGCTAATAATGCACTGAATGAGATGTTGATTTATGTATTCAAACATGCTTCAGGATATTTCACACAAGAAATAATTTAAATATATATATTTTTTATTATATTGTATCTCTAGACATAAAATTTTGTATTTTCCTTTTATTATTTTATCCTTTTTTCTTCGCTTTTTTTATTTTTTAAAGTGAAAGTTAAAAGTTTTTTAGGTTTAAAAACACGCCTCTTCTTTCCCCCGAATGAAACCGCGTAACAAAGCGTGCCTGTAGGTAAAACGCTAGCACTGTGGTGAGGGGGACGAATTTCATAGTTTTTCTTCGGCGATTGAGGGGTTAAAATGACTCATGACAATCTCGAAATTAGACGTCATTATCATACCTGCAAATTTCTGT